TTTTTTAAGTAGCCAATCAAAAAGCCAGAAAAGCTATTGACGATGTTCGCGTCATTTTGAATAAAATTCGCTTATTTTTGTTTGCGGCAAATTTACGGCGTCTATTCCCCTGATTTATTCCCGGCATTTGACCATTTTGGGGTCTTGTTATTGTAAAAAACAAATTGACGTCAGTCTTTTTTTTATGCGCCTGTCCTCTTATTGATGATAAATTTTGTCATAACATTGTCAAAGTTTACTGCGGAACCACACGCCTGCGGCTCGTGGTTCCACAGCCACTTTGACAATGTTATGACGCAATTTATCATCAATAAGAGGACAGACGGATGAAAAACTGACGTCAATTTGTTAAATTGTGAATGTATTTCCATGGCCCACCAGTCATGTTTTGAAAGGCTGTTCACTGAACATCCTTATTTGGGTTATGCCTTTAGTACTATGCATGCAGTGAATAACATTGCACACAAATGTAAATTACATGTTTGGCTAGTGCAACAAAATGAGTACCCCATAATTTTATTTTTACGATGACATTCCAAGGTTCAGAAAGGAAATGGCGGACGAAATCATGGCAATGAGACTAAGGTAATGATAATTTTCAAACCACCAATTACATTCCTGTTCAGGAAGGCTAATAGTCCCCATGTCTATTTGGCCAATGAGATTTCTTATTTCAACTGACAGATCGGAAGAGACAGAGCATTTAATTAACAGAAGACGTCAACCAGTTTCTGCTGTAACACCTGAGGTTTCAGTTGAGTCCAATGAGCACCTGCTAGATGGTAAGTTTGATATTAATTTTGTTTACTTGGTTATAAACCACCCTACTATCTACCTTATAACTTTGTAACTGCCCTTCCGAAGTTACCGGTAACAAGTCTTGTAAGTAATCTTCCAAACAATGTTCTCCAAAGTCTTGTATCAGAGGAACACTAGAGCAATCGTGGAGAATTGAATAGCAGTTCAAATTCTTCAAATGTTATGGTGAGTAACTTCAGCTGAAGTCTTGACGTTTATTCTTGACGTTTTGGCCTCGCAGCCTTCCTCAAGAGTACATTAATGTTAACAGTCTGATTTGCATACCACCTTATGAATTAATATATCCTTTCTCAAGCATCTAATGCACTGAACAGTCCTGGATTGTTATAAACTTTAAAATCAGATGGAGACAAATTAACAGTTCCCGCATTAATTTATCTTCACTTGTGATTGGTTATATATATTTATGTACATTTTGTTGAAGTGGGTTACAAGATCCAAGTTCCAAGAAAAGATGGTAATAATGAGGTAAGAACAATTGTATTGTATGATTTGTTAATCACGGTTGTCCTCCAAAGCACTTTAGTGTTTAATAGTTGTGTCGGACTGTCGCGTCAGATTTTTATCAATGCCGTGAAATTACCATCAGTTGAAATGCTCTGTTTGTTACAGAAAAAGACGAAAAATTTAAAACAATTGTTTCTTTTAATTTTTAATGTGATGTGCATTTGATTATTTTGTGACAGTCTTAATTTACGCAGGGCCCCTTTTGATACCAGCCAAGTGCTGATTGGGCCACCCTGCCTAAATAAAGTTGACCTTGACCTTGACCTTGTGGATACTCGGACAATATAAATTAGTAACTGAATTATTAAAAGAAGCTCTTGATACTAACGTTGAATATTGCTATTAGGATTATGTGTCAAACAGTACAAGTGGAACCGAAAGTGACGAAGTCGATAATGCTGCAAATATATTCTCTCCTGTTTTGTTTGGCCGAGTACGAAAACAGATTAACCACAACAAAGAGACCTCATTAGGTATGGATAAAAGCAGATTAAATACTAGCAGATGTAGAACTTGCTTGGATTTATAATCAGTGTGAACAGTGGAACCCTGCTTTATGACTACCCTGTGAATATGACCAACTAAATTCAGCCATTTGAAAAACCCGCGGTTCCACTGTATATTTTGCTTCATGTGGATTTGATCTAAAAAGACTGAAGACACGAGTCTTTATCTTAACTGTCAGGCACTGTACTAGAAGTAATCAACGATAATGAAGTGTGTTATTCACTGCTTGAGGCTAATAACTATCATTTGTGTAAAATGGAATTGTACGTGTGCAATTACAAAATTCCTATGACAACATTTTCTCAGTGCCAATATGGCGTTCAGGTTTTAAGACAGCTTTGGACAAAGTTGATTAAAAGATGCTGCAAAAAATATTAGAATTAAGACAAAGGTTCTAACACTGGATTTCTGGTAAATACTGTATTAATAATATCAGTGTTTGACCAACTATCAAGCCAAAAACTTGAAAATTACAGTGTCACCAGCATGCAGGTTTATTTATGACTATGTTGTCTTTCCCCTTTCATTTTTAAAGTTTGGTTCCCTTTTATTGCATTTGACCGACTTAGAAAATTATATTAATATGCTAGGACATTTTTTCTTGTCTCTGTAGAACCTCGAAGACTTAACACTGTTGGTTGTGTGAATCCAGACAACTATATTGATGATTGCGATACAGCTTTAACTGTTGAAATTCAAAAGTCACACAGTAAGTTAAAAATAATTTGCTTTTGCTGGGAAAGATATATGTACATATTCACTTGTCAAGGCTGTTAATTTTTAGTACTTTTAATTAGTAACACTATGAGGTATTGGCATAAGACTCACGTGAATTAAGTCATGCATATCCGAAACATTGCCCAAGAATAGATTTAGACCTCATCCTGAAGCTTCCACCGATTAGTCAGAACGTTGGACTCGCAATCCCGAGGAGCTCCTGAGTTTAAGTACCACCCTACCACTAACTCTAGTCCAGAGTTAAACTGTATGGGCTGTCTCCTGCTGGCAGTTCAGAGGGTTTCTCATATTCACGTTAATTCATTTAATTTACTTTCTGTGATATCTAAGTGAAGTGCCTGTAAAGTTGCTCAACTTGATAACTGCACTTCCACTATAAATAACGCAATGCATTTTTCCCCATTTCTGTTCTACTGTAGCATTTTTAGTCCTTTTGGTATTCAGCATGCTGTAAGTATTTGTTCATAATTGCAGGTAACAAGAGGCGAAGTTTGAAAAGGAAAAAATTGTTTTCCAGTTCTTCCTCTGAAGATGAAAACTGTCCATCAAATTTGGCAGGTACAGTTGGCTGTATTTTAAGGTCGATTTGCACCAGATAGAATCCAGTTAAATTAATGGCGGTAAAGAGGATATGTTTAGTCACAGCGATCTATAACCTATGAACAGTGAGAGTAAAGATTAAAAATATTGAAGTAAGATACTAATCTACAACATATTATTGCTTATAAAGTTAATCTTGAGGATTTATTTTCTTCTTATATTGCCGAAGAAATAAAAATGGTAACAAAAACCACGTTCCACGGTCACTAAATGAAGAATTTCTTTGTTTTTACTGTTCTACAGTTGAAACAAGCCCTGCAAGAGAAGAATCGTGTGAGGCAGAGGCTTCATTAACTAGTGAGGATGAGCTGTCGGAAAATAGTAAGCCCAATGTGAATACTGCTACCACAACATCAGCCTCAGGAGGTAAAGAAAAAAGAAAAGGCAGTGTGAATGTTTCTTTCCATTAAAGTGCTTTCACGTTCATGAAAAACGAGAGGGACAGCATGAATTTATTATCGTTCTTGGATACAATAGCAGTCGTATGAGCATCTCTGCCGTTTGCCTTTAACACGATGCTTAACTTGTTTAATTTTCGGTAAAACTGGAAAGGAGAAACAAGTGCGAGAAAAAAATACTGGTTAAATAATAACTGAATCAAAGGGATGGAAGTTGTGGTTACCCTATCGATGTCTCGTGACTCTGTTGCAAAGTCATTAGAAGAATAAACAAATAATGTACTGTAATACATTTTCTGATTTGTTCAGCATTTCCTTTGCTGTATTTCTTCAAATTGAACGTAATGAGAGCGATTCACCAAGATTGTTACAAAAAAGCGTATGCTATCTCCCTCTAATGTTACGCACTAACTTAAACCTAACCTAGATATTACGAATGTAATTACTTAATATAGAAAAGAGAATGGAAAATTTAAGTCAAACCACATTATTTATCATTTCAGTGTCTCTACGATGCGCACAGAGAAATGAAAACAAGACGAGAATTTATGACAAGAGACAAGCATGCTACTATTGTGGGAAATTGTTCACTAAAATTGCAAGACACTACGAACAGAAGCACGAGAGTGAAAGAGAAGTCACGATTGCCCTTTCCTTTAATAAAGGGTCTCCTAATCGCAAAAAACATCTTGAAAAGCTTCGACTTTTAGGGAACTATCATCACAATTTGACAGTTTTAGAAGTTGGCAAAGGGGAACTGATTGTATCAAGACGTCCCTCCACCACTAAGAGATGCAACCCTAATGATTTCCTTCCCTGTGAACATTGCTTAGGTTTTATAAGACGCCAAGAATTATGGAAGCATGTCAAATCGTGCAAGTTTAAGTCGGAGAATATCGAAACCCCAAAATACCAGAAAGTACAGGAGAAATCAAAACTTTTGCTATATCCAGCCATTAGCACTGACACCAGAACCACACGTTTAAGCAAAATCTTGGCAACAATGAAGAGCGATGAAGTTTCTATTGCAGCAAGAAACGATTGGCTCATCAAGGAGATTGGAGTCGTTTTAGTCGAGAAATACGGAGAAAAACAAAACAGCCTCATTTCTCAAAAAATGAGAGAACTTTCTCGACTGTTACTGCAGCTTCGTGAAACGGATGCCAGTCCTAATTCCAGCCTTTCTGATTTCATTAAGCCTGGAAGGTTTGATGATGTTGTGAGTGCTGTAAAAAGTATTTCCAAATTTCAATTTGACAAAGGTGTTCAAGATGTGGCAACTCCGTCGTTGTCGTTGAAGATTGGTCATTCCTTAAAGAAGTGTGTCAACATCCTTAGGGGTCATGCCTTGCGCGCAAAGGATAAAGTTTTGGAAGAAGATGCCGACAATTTTGAAAGACTTATTGTCTCAGAGTGGAGTTATCTTGTTTCTCATCATTCCCTCAATGCTCTCAACACGAAGAAGTTCAACAAAGTGGAGCTGTTGCCACTCGCAGAAGATCTTGAGAAGCTAAGAAAAAGTCTCCTTGCAAAGATATCTTCCAACGTAGAACGCCTTGAACAGCAGCCTCAGCTAGAAGTCTGGAGTGATTTAGCACAGGCTACTCTAGCTAGACTGGTCATATTCAACAAAAGAAGAGGAGGAGAAGCCTCAAAATTGCTGATTGAAAGCTACCTCAAGAGACCAGACTGGTCACAAGTTAACAGTACCGAAGTATTATCATCTCTGAGTGGTTTTGAAAAAGAGTTGTCCAAAACGTAAGTGGGAGGTAGATGTCTTAGACTGCGGTATTCTGTCCTTTTTTCTCTTGATACCCCGTACTCCTTAACTGACAGAATATATACCTCCTTTTTGTAGACCAATACACTGAAAGCTGTTTAGATACGACTTAAGATACCATAATGTTTTATTGTAAATGCACTTATTTAAGTTTTCAGATTTATATGCCCTCTAAGTTTTAAGGTTTCTATTCTTGTCACCTGACATGCTTTAAAACATTTCAAGGACTCTTTGATGGATAAAACCTGTACAAAAAGCGTGTCAAGGAGGTCTGGTTTAAAAAAAAAAACAAATGTCGGTTAGAAATCTTCCTTAGCAACAAATTCATGACAAACTGGAAGTTAAGAACGACACCCCCCTAAATTTGTAAAACTTGTCTTTTTCGTAAACAGGCTCGACATGGTTGAAATACGCGGCAAGAGAGGCAGAAAGGTGCCAGTCATTTTGACCACAGAGATGACCAATAGCATCAATCTTCTCATCAAGAAGAGGAAGGATGTTGGCATACCGGACGAAAATCCGTACGTATTTGCCAGACCAAGCAGACAATCATTAGATCACATGCGAGCGTGTGATTGCCTCAGGAAATTCGCAACACAGTGTGAACCAGTTTTGTCAAACCCAGCAGCTATTACAAGTACCAAGCTGAGGAAACACATAGCTACCATTTCTCAAGTACTTTCCCTTAAAGAAACAGAGGTAGACTGGCTAGCAAGGCACCTGGGCCACGATATTAAAGTGCATCGGGACTTTTACAGGCTTCACGAATCAACCATTGAAATTGCTAAAGTCAGCAAACTTCTCCTCACAGTAGATCAAGGTGAAACAAGCAAGTTTGTGGGGAAAACATTGGCAGAAATTGATCTCAATGGTAAGTGGCTGTACGGATTGGGACCTTAGGTTTATTTTAGGACTTTGTGGGGACCTGAAGATATATTGATCTCCAGGGGTCAAGAAGTTTTAACGACTACCCCGTGCGGCTGTACGGATTGGGACCTTGGGTGTATGTTGGGACTTTGTGGGGACTTGAAGATATATTGATCTCCAGAGATCAGGAAGTTTTAGCGGCTACCCCGTGCGGGTGCGGATTGCGACCTTGGGTTTAAGTAAGGACTTCGTGGGGACTTCAAGATAAATTGATCTCCAGAGATCAAGGAGTTTTTGGGATTTGGATTAATGTCTCCCCAAGTCTTAGCGACAGCCCGCAACACAAGGCGTTCTTGGGATTTGGATTAATGTCTCCCCAAGTCTTGGCGACAGTCCGCAACACAATAGCTAAACAGCAAAGTAAACACCAAAGTTCTCATCTTTTTTTTTTTCTTTTTTCAGAAATCCCAGAACCCGACCTTTCCGAAGGGGATGATGACGATGATGGCGACGATGACGACGACGACGACGACAACGACGACGACAACGACGGTGACAGAGCTAAGAATGTTAAAGGAAGCTTGTCAGGTGTGGATTTTTTTTTTCTTTTTAAAACCTAGAAAGGCCGAGATTGTGCGCGACTGAGAGTAACAAACATGCCAAGATGGTGTTACAAGAATTCGAAGGCTCCCATTACTGTTAATCGTGTTTTGTTACTTTGTATCAAATTATCAAGAACATGGCAACAAGACTGTAAACTTATTTGGGCAGTTTAAAATAGAAGCAAGTCATCGAAACTGACGCTATTAATGTTTCTCTGTAAATATATTATAGCGGCACTCTGTTTAGTTTTGACGAAGGTGTAAATGTTTTTTATTTATATATTTTTTAACTAATATTTAAGCATGTAAGTGAGTGACTAAGGAAGGCTACACGTGAAAGCTTTCGCCGATGACCCCGTGGTTGTAACCGATAGTTGAGCATATAGGACAAAATCAGCTCAAGGTAGATATGGCTTTTGTTGCCCCCGTAAGTGCACGAACGGAATACAACAACTATCTTACACTTATCAGTGTGCAGTGGCTGGAGGCCGTCTACAAAATGGCGAGATTTTTTCGTTTCTCTGAAGTTTCGAGGAAAGATATAGGAATGTTTACCGATTAACTCAATTCCAGAGAAGAATGAAGGATGGCTATTCAACGTTTTTGAGTTTGAAACGCCAAAATTGTTGAATAAACTGATGCGCGCGTAAACAGATCAAAGTTTGCAATGTGAATTCAGTTCCGCCCATGATTTTACTAAAGCGTTAAGTTGAAATTCTCGTTCAAAGAAAGAAAATAATTTGAAAAAAAATTGTTAATTAAGGAAAAATGAGTTAGAATTCTACTAAAACAATTAAATTGTTCGCTCTCGATTTCTACGAGGTGATAGTTAATGAGGATGTAACCTCATCATCCCTGGGTCTCTCATATCTTTCAGCTCTTCTGTCATTAGTGTGCAGTGGCTGAAGGTCGTATATAAGCTGGCAACATTTTTTTCGTTTGTCCGAAGTTTTTAAGGAAGTTTAGAAATGTTAATGTAATACAATTCCTGAGATGACTAAAAAAGGACATTCACCGCTACGCAAGTTTAAATCATGAGCGTTCTTGCATAGCTGCAAGGTTCAAATGACGTTTCAGTCCGCGCGCGATTTCGCTAAAGCGTGAAGTTTAATACGATTTCAAAGCTAGAGAATTAATTGGAAATCACTACTTGAAGGGAAATAGTCAGAATTCTACGAAAAGTTTTAGATTTCGCCGCTCTCGATTACTATGAGATGCGTCACTATCACTTCATAGAAAACTCGAGCTCATAGTCTAATTGTCAAGTATGTATTTGTATTCTTTTTCGTATCTGTGCAGTACGAAGAGCACCTGCCAAGAAGGAAAGAAGCAGATGTCACGGCCCAGCCAAGGAAAATGCTGACACGCCAGCGCCAAAGTCAAAGAGTAAGTAGTTCTTCATTGTTTCGACACAAAGCTTCTGAAATTATGTTAATACACATTGTCTTTTTTCATATCTGTGCAGAACGAAGAGCATCTGCCAAAAAGGAAAGAAGCAAATGTCACGGCCCAGCCAAAGAAAATGCTGACACGTCAGTGTCAAAGGCAAAGAGTAAGTGCTTCTTCATTGGTTCGACACAAGACTTCTGAAATAATGCTTATATACAAGGATAAAAAGAGAGAGGATGAAAAAAGTAGTTGTTTTGCCTTTCGTTTTATTGGAAACGATATCTGGATCTCTTTTCCGTATCTTTGAAGTATGTTATTATATTGAACCTATTAACAACATAGTATTAAGCGATTTTTTTCGCTTTTTTTTTTAGCTGTACAACGTTCATGATTTTTCTGTTTATTCCATCGTTTTTAATTCGTACTTCATTAACTTGGAAAGAAAGCTTGAAGTAGTGTTTGGTCGATCACTTGTATTTCAATCTCCTAATCCTTTCATTCTTCTATTTCATCTTTTTTTCCGATGTAATATTAATCAGACATCATATCGTCAGTAATGCAAAATATTCTTTCAGCCATGGCTGATCCAGAATTTTCAGACAAAGATTGGGAACCAAATGAGGGTGATGACGATGACAGCAATGCTGAAGATGGTTATCAACAAACTGCTTTAGGTATGTTATTTTTTTGTACGTGTATAAAGCAAATCCTATTCTAAGTGAACTGATATGAAGATTACCAAACCTATACGACTGAATAAATTAAGTCATGCTCACCATTAACCGAAAAAGTTTGGTGTTTTCCTGTAATACTTTATACAGTATTGCAAATACAGTATAAAACGTTACAAGAAAACATTTACAAACTATTATTTTCAACTTCATTTTGCAAGTGGAACCAGTGTGTTTTTGTTATTTCACACTGGATGTTTCTAACCCGCTCTCTCGAATTTTTTGCTAATACTCAGAGGGTTTGATATATAAAAGTTACGCACCTATGCATGACTTTTCCTTAAGTTCTATAGTCAGTAAAGCCGTGGTCAAACATCGAACTTCGTATGGGTCGAAACTAATGTAAATGAACAAAACAGTAGCTTTCTCTCAATGACATTAGGTTCGCAGTTTGACCATGGCCTAAGAAGGGCGAGTAATTGGAAAAACAGCAATGGACTGGACTGCCGTGACACAGACCCTATGATTTTGAACGGTTACGTGCCCTTGTCCTTGGTAAGGCACTACCTCTGCAATAACATATTTTGAACTTTGTTCTATATCGTAATGTAACATAGGGACAAAGAAGGCAAAGTGTGGTCGTTTTTCACGAGACAAAAGTTGGACTAAGGAGAAAGCAGCATCGTTTAAAACTAGAAGTAAGTTACGCTATAATTGCACAACTCTGTAAATACTATCAATGGTAGTAGTCGTAATGAATTCTATGGAATGCCATTTATCACAAAAAGATAACTAAATGAATGTTAAGAAAGGGGCATATATCTGTATCAGACCACGATTATCGAGATATTCGCCAGTTTTCTGTATACTAAACTGAATTTTACTGTTATTCTATTAATGTCATTGTTATTTTGTTATTATTACAATATAATGGCAAACGGCTAGGTCATGAACATGGTACTGCACACGTTCTTTGTTGAACTGTTGCTCCCAAGAAATTAATTTTCTTCACTCGTTCGTCGTACGTTTTAATTTCAGAAAGTTTGGTAAAATTCCCATTTTTTTGCAGAAGCATTTACGCGAACACAGTGGACGAAAGAGGAAAAAGAAGCAGTTTTCAAGTATCTTTCTTACCATATCAACAGAGGATGTGTTCCCGGAAAAGGTGATTGCGAGAAATGTATTAATAAAGCAGGTAGCACCCTTCAGCGCAGAGACTGGACAGCGGTAAAGTATTACGTAAAAAACCAGATAGAAAAAAGGAAAAAGGTTCTTGTCCCTAAAAGCACTAATCACTATAGTGAGTAGCTATTGTCTGAACACTTGTGCCTGGAAAACATTGCACGATTAACAGTAAACTTGCAAAACATTTTGCCAGTTAAGAGGTAAGAAAATAAAATCTAGTTGTAAGTATTTTCTAAGCTTACGCTACTTCACATTGTGGAGAAGTAAAGGCATGTGCACAACAGATAAACGAGAGCTAAGATCACTGCTTACGACATCTGACTGAAGTTGATATACTAAAAGACCTAAGAAAGGCCTGGAAAATGTTTTCGGGATTCGTCAACTAACAGGATTTTTTTTTCAGTACTATGATTGTATGACGGAGTAGCCGTCTGCAGCTTTTGTGGCTGTTAAAAATACTGTTAGGAACTGTTTCTCTAAAACATCGGCAATTTTTAACAAACAAATTGGTTTTTCCAACGACGGGTAAAATTAGCAGTCAATCTGTGGTTTGATTGTTGAGTTGGTTGACCAGATGGTCCCAAATTGTAT